ATGGGCTACATGTGAACCTGTCTCAAAAAATAAAATTAAAATAAATTAATGGCTGTTTATTTTTATACTGCAGCCAGATTGGTTCAGAAATAACAGAAATGAGTCCAGACACAGAAGAATATAGGTGGGGCTTCTTTATTAGGACATATAGCTCAAGCCGAGATGCAGAAACAGCTCTGAGCAAGAACAAGTCAAGCCAGTGCCTCCCCAAACAAAGGAAAAGGGTACTCAACAAAAGAAAAACTCTGCCCAACAGTTCCCACCCAGGATACTACATGCACATAACACAGTCAACATTTAAAAAGTCTAGTCCCAACTGCTCAGTGCCAGCTCTTCCACACAAAAGATGATTCTAACTTCAGAATGTCAGGTTCTTAGTGTTCAAGGTCTGCACTCAGGTGTGGAGTACTCATGGGCCAACTCTATCTGTGGGATAAGGCAAACTCCTGAAAGGCTAACTCAGACTTATGTGAGGTGAGCAGCTACCCCCCCCCCCCGAGGAGAATTTCATATAGTGTATTTTTATCACATTTTCATTTTTTTCTTTTAGACAGGGTCTTATTATGTAGACCTGAATGATCTAGAACTCTCTATACAGAATAGGCTGGTCTTAAATTTACAGAAATCTACTTGTCTGTCATCTGTGTGTTGGGATTAAAGGTATGTGCAACCACAAAGCATTTATGGCAAAGCATAATGGTTCAGGGCAGAAACTGTGAACTCATTTTCCTATGCTCAAATCTGTACTGTACTAATTTCTAATTCTGTGGCCTTGGGGAAAATACTTAACTTCCCTAAGCCTGAGCTCTGTCATTCAGAAAGTGAAGATAACTTCATTTCTACTTCACAGGATTGCTGATAGGATCAAGTGAGAATCCAAGTAAAAACATACAGCCAGCACAATGAAAGTTGAAATAATTTCATTTATTATTTTTATCATTATGGTCAAAAAACATACAGTCTGACTATAGTAACTATGGTCTTTTTGTCATAGAGCTCCAGAATCCTAGGGAAACAGGCAATTAATATAACCAAAATTTCTTGAGTTTTAAGTAACATTTTAATTGACAATATATGCTTTATATTTAATTATATTAAGCCAAAATGTTCAATGAATTAAAAAAAAAAAAACTCTCCTAACAAGTTCTTGTGTGGAGGGCCACCCAAGGCTTTGTCTCTGAAAAGACTTTCTCATGCCATCTGCCTCTTGCTCATCAGCATTGAAATTCCGTTTCATAAGAGCTCCACAGACTGGATTAGACACCACAGGTCCACAGATTAAGACCATGCTCACAATGACTTTAAGACGTGGTTTGTTTTTTTTAATCACATGGAGCATTTGTACAAAATTTTCAATGCACAAAAGCCTTGTGGGAAATACTATGGGTGCTTTGACATAAATCACAGCAGTGGCACCTAAGGACACCAGTGTGGAAAGTCACTGTGTCGTTCTCCATCACACAGTATAGCAAATACTTCACCTTCACTTGAGAATGTCCTCAGCCGGGTGGCGGTGGCGCACGCCTTTAATCCCAGCACTCAAGAGGTAGAGTCAGGCGGATCTCTGTGCGTTTGAGGCCAGCCTGGGCTACAGAATGAGATCCAGGACAGGCACCAAAACTACACAGAGAAACCCTGTCTCAAAAACCAAAACAAAAAAAGAATATAGCACAGCTTACTATAGTTACCATATCTCAATCATTAGGAATATACCTTCACACTGTGGGTGAGGTGGTAAATGGGTACACAGCACTTCTACCTCATACCCTGACAGCTGAACAGGGAAGTGCCTTGGCTGTGTTACAGGCTGTGTTTCCACTGTGCCTTTGAATGCAAAGAATAGCTATAACGGGCAGACAAACTAGGATCATGGAAACTTGAGTCTCTACTGAAACTGAAGACTGTGAGTCTAAATTTAAAGGACAACACCTAACAGGTTTTGGTGCTAATGAGACTGTCCAACCAAAGTTCCAAGTTTGAAGCATCTGTGACCACCCTTCTGAAAGCTTGAGATTTCTCTCCTGAGTTCAGTGGTGACAGAAAACTACTTTCATCCTTGTAACAGCTTATCCATTTCCCCCGTCTCCCTACAAGCACTAAGGAGGAAGGATCCACACAGAGCATAGCAGCCTACAGTATGAAAAGAGTCTGGAGTGCAGGGAGATGGAGGCAACAGGAGCTTGCAGGCTTGCAGGACAGGGAGCTGGAGCAAGCAATCAATCAGCCCAGAGATTCCCTTGAGTTGGATGCTGAATCCCGAGACACTGAGGAACAAGTGCTGGGAACTAAGAAGCAAATGATTCCCAGCAGACTAGGAGACACTTGAATTCTATCCATCCAGAGCCAAGTTCAGTTGCTGAACCCTCAAAGCACAGTCAGGGGCTCCAGAAAGGCCTTACTTTGTAACAAGATGTTAGCCCTACTAAAGGCTACTATATTAGTCAGGATTCTCTAGAGGAACAAAATTTATAATTATAGATACAGAGAAGCTATATATAGCGAGAAAAAAAGGGGGTTTTATTAGAATGATTCACAAGCTGTGGTCCAGCTAGTCCAACAGTAGCAATCTACCAACAGAAGGTCCAAGAATCGAGTAGTTTTTCAGTCCATGAGGCTGGATGTCTTAGTTGATCGTTGGTATAAATGGAAATCCCAAAGGAGCAGACTCTGGTGCCAGCGAAGGAATAGATTTGCCAGTGAGAGTAAGAGCAAGCAGGCAAAGAGTGAAAGCTTCCTTCTTCTATGTCCTTTATATGGGCTGTCAGCAGAATGTGGGGCCTAGATGAAAAGTGGATCTTCCCTCGACAAAAGATCTGGATTAAAGGTATATTTTCCCACCTCAAAAGATCCACAGTAAAAGAGGGTCTTCACACTTCAAAGGATTTAATTAAGAAAAGAATCCCTCACAGGTGTACCCAGCCACTTGGGTTTTAGTTAATTCCAGATGTAGTAAAGTTGACAACCAAGAAGAACCATCACAGCTACCCTACACCTACCCTAACAAAGCTTATCAATACTAAAAATAGAGCCACCTAATCCATGAATTATTTGGCTTCCCACCAAAACAAGCTTCAACTCTCTTTAAAAGTGTATGTGTTTGTTTTCTGTTGCTGTGATAAACACCACAATCAGAAGCAACTGAGAGAAAGAAGGGGTTTATTTCAGCTTATAGGTTACAGTCTATCTAGTGAGGGAAGTCAAAGCAGAAGTCTGAAGCAGAATCCATGCTGGAACACAGCTTACTGGCTTGAAGCAGAAACCATGCAGGAACACTGCTTACTGGCTTGCTCTGCTACTTTTCTGCTACAGTCCAGGCTCACCTGCCTAGGGATGGCACCGCCCACAGTGGGCTGGGTCCTCCTACATCAATTAGCAATGAAGAAAATCCCTCACAGACACGGCCACAGGCCAATCTGATCTAGACAATTCTTCAGTTGAGGGGACCTCTTCCAAGGTGACTCTGAGTTTGTTTCAAGTCGACAGCTAAGAAAGCCAACAAAGACAGAAGACAACAAAACATAAACTGGCAACATAATATACATGAGGAAATCAGCCAGAATGACATTGAGAAAAGGAAAGCAATGACAGGCAATGATTTTTAAACAGCTACTAGAAACACGCTTCATAGACTAAGGATGAAGAAGGGGCCAGCAAGATGTTTCAGCCAGTGATGTAAGCCTGATACTATATATTATATATGTGATATTATGTATATATGTATATATATTATGTAATATATATACACAAGTATGTGATGTTACATAATATCACATATATAAATATATAATAAATCTTTAAAAAGAATGAATAGGAAAACATAAAAATAAAACTTAAAAAAATAATGAATAGGAAAACATGAACATGACAAAGAGAGAAACAGAAAAGTGGACCCCAAAGGTTCCATTTAATCCTGCTGTGCTGCTGAAACAGCATAGTAATCAGAAACTACAAATTCACTGGAGAGAATCGACAGCAGACTACAGAAAATAAAACAAATGAACTTAAAAACACAGCACAGAAACTATGCAAATTAAAGTCAGCGGGGAAAAAAAAAAAACAAAAAACGAAGTCCTCCATAATTTATGGGCTAATATCAAGCAATCTCATCAACGTGGAATTGGAATCATAAAAGGAAAGGGGACTGGAGAGAGGGAAACACATGAAGAAATAGGAACAGAAATTCTTCCAACTTGATATAAACTTTAAGTCCTTAGATCCTTAAAACTCAATCAGGATAAGCAAAGGAAAAAAATATGTCAAAACACATCACAAATTGTTCAAAAATAGTACCATTTTAAGAAAAAAGGAAAAAAAGATACAATGCCACTCCCCTGGCTCTCAATATGTCAAAAAGTAATAGTAACTCTAGCCCCAAAAAGCAAAGAATGCCGGGCAGTGGTGGCGCACGCCTTTAATCCCAGCACTCAGGAGGCAGAGGCAGGTGGATCTCTGTGAGTTCAGGGCCAGTCTACAGAGTGAGTTCCAGGACAGGATCCAAAGCTACAGAGAGAAACCCTGTCTCGAAAAACCAAAACAAAAGCCAAAAAGAAAAAAAAAAGGCAAAGAACATTGTTCTAAATCTTCTACTTGAAAAGTAGGAATGGACCAAAGCAGAATTCTTACTTTGGTTGAGGCCTTCCTTTGCTGGTATCCCAGCATCTGTTGAGTCTATGTGCAGCATAATCATGAACAACGTACAGTTAAACTAATGGAAAACGATGTTGTCACGGCACATTTACATACTTTCTGGTTCACATATATCACATGCTTTAGATCGCATGCTCTCAGCCAAAAGCCTTACTATCGTTCTTAATCAATTTCTAGGGCATTTCTGAGTGGACGACAACTGCACTACATGGCTACGACATGTTACAGAATAAGATGAGAAAATGTGTCCAGACGCCCATCTCAAGAACACTCAAAGTGCATCCCAGAGGAAGCAACCACACTGTTACCTCAAAGCAGGTACACGCACACAAAGAGTTTCAAGTATTACTCACTCTGAGTCTCCACAAGGTCCAAGGCAACACTAGAAACTGTGTCCATTCCAGAGCTGATGCACGCCTGGAAGTTTTTTAAGGAGGAGAGAGCGGACTCCACACCACTGAAGGATATGTAACGAGTGGAACCTGAACTGGAACTGGAACGCCCTGGCATCTTGAGCTTGTTACCTAAAATTTCAAACACAACAGTAAGAGTTCTAAGTCAGAACAATAACTGTACAGGAAAAGAGCACAGCTGTAACACTCAATGGCAGCTATATGCAATATCCACGTGCTACACTGTTCCCTGCATGCAGGACCCAGAGGACACCAGGCACTGTGCCATCACCTGGCCATCAAACACACACACTCCACAGAATACGGGGGAGGGAACTATCTTCAGTTTATAAGAAGAATATCCTTTTTCTCGATGCTTCAAAGAACCTAGAAAACCCAGTTCTTACAAGCCTAACACACATAGAGGATAGAGACTATCCATGACATCTTTTCCTTTAAAAAAAATAATAATAAAGCTTAATAAGATGAGAATTTTTTTAAAAAAATCTATAGTTTTGAACTTACTTAATATATCTGCACTTTGAACTCTTAAAAAAAATGTTTCGAATAGTTCCTTAAATTCTGATAGATTTACACCTGTAATTTGCCGTGGGATGTCTTTCTGTATGCTGTGAATATGTGTGGCTTCCACTGGATAATAAATAAAGCTGTTTTGGTCTATGGCAAGAAAGCTTACAGCCAGGCAGGAAATCCAAACAGAGATACAAAGAGAAGGGCGGAATTGACAGAGATGCCAGCTGCCACCCAACGAGCAACAAGATGCCAGCAGACGGGTAATGCCACGGCTACGTGGCAACATACAGACTAATAGGAATGAGTTAATTTAAGATGAAAGAGCTAGCTAGCAAGAAGCTGAAGCCATAGGCCACAGAGTTTGTAATTAATAAAAGCCTCTGAGTGAATATTTTATAAGCGGCTGTGGGACTGCAGGTGGGAGAGATTCGTCTGGACTGCTGGGCAAGGCAGACTGGAGAAACATCTGGCTACAGTAATTATCTCAGATTCAGTAAAAGCAGAATTTCTACATAGACTTCTTATCTTACAGTGGTTTCTCTATTATAATGGTAGTTATTACCCTCATATTAAATACTCCCTTATCTATACCTTTAAACACCAACTCTTTAGGCTTGGACCCCTTGCCTATATAAGCATCTTTACTTAATTCAGGAACCTCCTGAAATTTAAGCCATTGAAAGCAACTAGAAAAGTGCAGCGTTCACACTGGCTTTAAATGACAAGCAGTCTGTTGCTAAAGCTTTGCAGCACCATAAAAGAAAATGTTTTCTAGGAATCAGAGAGATACAATGTGAACTCAGGCTCGTGGGACCAGAGACTGACTGGGAAGTCCTTCAGCTCCTCTTTGGAAAGGAAGCCACACTGGTGGTGTGATCTAGCATCTGGTCCAAAATTTGCATGGCAACTCACTCTCTTGTTCTTCCTTTCAAGAGCAGGGGGCCGTGTGGTACCTCTGGCACTTCCTCCTCTCAAGGTATCAGCTTTATTTCATACCCCAGCTGCTACTGCAGCTTTCCCACTACTGCTTTCAACTAGGGCTGTTCATTTAGTCCACAAATAGGAATTCAGGTCTTACCCTGTAAATTCTTAGGCTCATTAAAACACACACACACACACACACACACACAGGCTAGAAAAGGGGGAGAGCTCGGAGGGCTAAAGTGCTGACTTTTATCTTTGGGGTATCACTTTAACATGAGCATTCACAATACCACTAGTTGCTGATTCAAAAAACTCAGATAACAAACATTTAGTAAGTATTGTCCTAAAGACCAGGCAACTTCTCTGAGCATGGGAATATAATGGTTTTCAAGGTAAATACTCCAAGAGTTTTATTTTCAGGTACTGCTTAGTATATTCCAATTCAGTGAAAAACTGGCATATGCCAGGCAGTATTCTAAGCACCAGAAATACTCAGCCTCTGCTCTCCTGGACCTCTCTAGTTCGCAGGACCAGACATGCAAATACACCATTGAGACAACATAGATTACTTGTAAAATGAAGGGACAGAGGCGATGCCTGACTTGGCTCTCACAATGAGGAAAAGGCCTATCAGAATACACAGCACCAACAGTGGTGAAGAGCATGGAACTCTCTAGGCAGCTACTTGAATCTTTCTTGTACAGAAAATGGGTCCTCTTCCTGCCTTTGGTCTTCTGACAGGGTCTCATTATGTAGCCCAGCTGGCCTCAAACTCCTAGCAATCCTCCTGCCACTCAAATGCTGAGCCTATAGGCATGACCCACCCACAGACCTGACTTAGAAATACTCCATGATACCTGATGCTATGAACTGCTGACATTTCCTCACCACCCATTTGCACAAAAGACCAGGGTTAAAGATCTTGATTGCTACTTCACTGAGAAAACAGGAACCACCGAGGAGGTCCTTCCCTCCCCACCTACCAGCCTCAGTTTCTGCATCCTGCTTTCTCCTCATGGTGAATGAACTAGCCGTGCCCACTCAGACCACTTCCTCTTTACATTAGGTCTTCTCTTGTCCCTCTCTCAGCAATCCTCCTTGCTTTCCTCCATCACTCACTTTCTCCTCTCCCACACCATTCTCCACAGCAAACCAGAGACATCGTCTCTTTAATCTTAAAGAAAAACATCCTCCCACCTTCCCCTCTGATTACTTCCCCTGCTTCTGTGTTCCTCCTGGCAGCGAAACTCTCCTGTAGGCATCCATGCCTTCATTTGTCTCACAATCCTCGTCCTGTCACTGCCTGTGTGTGGGCCAGGCTCCCCACCCCTCCCGCTTCACTGGGCCTGCTCAAGGCCACTGCTGCAGTCCTTATCCCTTCTTTCTTGGGGGACATTTCCTTTTGCACTCCTTCAGACTCTCATTGCTTCCTATCTCTTTCCCATGAGCTGTCTAGAGTTCCAATTCACAACTTCAATCCTCCCCACACCCCCAGCATGTACACAGTCTTCACTTCTCCACCTCCCCCAAGCTCATCTATCTGCTACGGTCTGAATGTCTGGGTCCTCATCCCCAGTGTATACGTTGAAACCCTAATGTCCAAAGTGCTGGTATTGGATGATAAGACCTTTGGGGAGGTGACTAGATCCACCCTCCAGAATGAAATTAGTCCCCTTAAAAAGGATGCTCCAGAGAGCTCTCTTGTCTTTCTACCACACAAGTACATGCCATTTACAAACCAGAAAACATGTCTTCACCAGACACTAAATCTGATGGTAAGTTGGCCTTGGAATTCTCAGCCTCTACAACTGAAAGACAGTAGTTTCTGATGCTTTTAAACTACTAAGATATTTTATTTGGATTACAGACATCTGAACATTCTAATACTACTCCTCAGGTCTTGGTTTAAGTTAGGGCTTAGGAGGGTCTCCCTAGGGAACATTTAACATCATGGGGAGACATTTTTAGTTGTGGGGGACACAGACTAGTATCCATGGAGGAGAGGCCAAGTATACTGATAAAATTCTAGCATGTACAGTAGTCTCTCACTACAAAGAATCATCTGAAAACAAAATGTCATCATCACATTGGTTAAGAAACAGTGATTTAGGGGCTGGAGAGATGGCTCAGAGGTTAAGAGCACTGGCTGCTCTTCCAGAGGTCCTGACTTCAATTCCCAGCACCCACATGGTGGCTCAAAAACCATCTATAATGAGATCTGGTGTCCTGTTCTGACCTGCAGAGATACAGGCAAGCAGAACACTTTATACATAATAAATAAATACATCTTTAAAATAAAAAGAAACACTGATTTAAATCCACCTCTTCTTGGAACCTCTTTCCAATAACACTGATCTCTTTGTTCCCAGACCTATAGCCTCCAAGACAATCTACCACAAAGTTATGCATTTCCTGGGGTCTCTCCAAGCTATGAGGCTCAGCACACCATTTTGCTTCCCTTCTATTCCTGGAAGAGTTGCTGCCAGTTATTAATGTAAAGAGGGAAATCTACATGTTTCTGTACAGCGTTCTAGTAGGCACAGAGCAAACAAACACGAAGTGAGGCCCCTCACCGCCTTTAAACCCAAGGTGGCAACTTCAACAGAGTTGTGTCTCCCTTTTCAGCAGGCCAGCATGTATACACCCTTCAAGCCTCCCCTCGCCCATGGCTCCTTCCCTTCTACACGCCATCATAGTTCCTAAAACACATCTATTTCTACTCTAAAACTTAAGACAGCTGCTTGCTTACATCTGCCATCCCCTCATGCTGGGACCTCCTTAAACTGGAACACGCCTTAGATGTAAAACGCCTCACGCAAACGAAGTGATCAAGAAGGCTTCGTTGAGTCACCAAAGTAATCATAACAACTACTGCCATTTCCAGGTCCCCACCAGTATGCCCATGCCCATGCCCACCAAGGTGACCCCCGCTTCATTCACATCAAGGCTACTACTTACCGCCACCTGCAGAAGCGAAATGGCACCTGTGGCCTGGAGTACGTCTGAACTACCTCTTCGCGCCTCTGCTTTTAAAGCCAGTTCAGACCAGATTCTTTTTTTTTTTTTAAATCACACAGTGGTGGTCTTCTCCACACGCCGTCAGGGATGAAGGATGAGAGGCTGCAAGTGGGGATAAGCTGCCTCCGTCTCGCTGCTGCGGGTGAAGAGGGCCGGGCCCACAGCCATAGCCCAAGTCCCCGGAGCGCAGAGGGAAGGCGACAACGCCCGCCAACCCTCCTCCCCCATCACGGCTCCTCTCCGGTCTTACCTGGCTGCCCCACCTAGCTCAGCTGTAGCTACCCGGACGGACGTCGCACGCCCAGACCCCAAGTCCTCTCCTCAGCCCGCTTCTCCAGCGGCTGAAACGCCCCGCGCGCGCCCCTGCGTCATCAGTCGGCGCCCGCGGGTGATCACATGATGCCTGGCCCTGGCCGCCGCCCCTCGGTCACGTGACGAACTGGGGCCGCCAGGGTAGAAGCCAGGGTCCAGCCAGCTGGAGCTCTACAGCCCAAGACGCTAGGGGATCCCTGGGGCCCCCCCGAGAGAGGGACCCGGGTGCCCAGTCCGCGCGGCCGGCGTCGGACGGCTGACAGGTGAGTCGCAGGCGCGCTCGCGGTTTCCAGGCCCTTCCCCTCCCCGTGGGCCGCGGGCGGGTGCTGTCCCCGGAGCCGCCAGGGCGGGCAAACCTAGGTCCTGCAGGGTTGGGGCTGCATCCCTGCTCTTCGCCTACGCCTTAGTGGAAATGGCTCCTGCACGCATCTTTGAAGCATTAGGGGTGATGCTCAGGTGCTTGGCCCGTTAGCTGAGTGTGCAAGTTGCTCGGAGCGGTGCCCTGGTGATGTGGTTGATCTCTTTCATTGACTCTCGAGAAAACCGAGTAGTTTTTCTCGAGAAGTAGAAGTGAAGGCTTCTATGAAGCGAGAGGGTTCAATGAAAGTTCTGTCACGCACTTTGAATTTGGGCAAGTCGCTTCTCACGCGCCCTAATGTCCCTCGCTCACCTAAGACATAGTGCTAATGTCCTTTGTATGGGGGTGGGTTTCACTGGGTCCTGATTCTGCTGTGATAGGAAAATAGTTGGTCTCCTGATTTCTATATAGATGACGGGTATTGAAGGAGTTTTATTGCCTCCATCCACAACCAGGGATACTCTCCGTAAGGTCTCATGAATCAGGCTGGAGTGATCCAGCTCATTCCAGAACTTTTCTTGGAGAGCATCCATTATGAATTTGAGGTCGTTGCTTTCTTCTTTATGGAACTGAGATTTTGTGAAAAGATAAAAATAGATCCATCTTTTGTCCTCTGGATCGGGCCAACGATGCCATTCTTAAAAGCAAGTTCCAGCCGGGCGGTGGTGGCGCACGCCTTTAATCCCAGCACTCGGGAGGCAGAGCCAGGCGGATCTCTGTGAGTTCGAGCCCAGCCTGGACTACCAAGTGAGTTCCAGGAAAGGCGCAAAGCTACACAGAGAAACCCTGTCTCGAAAAACCAAAAAAAAAAAAAAAAAAAGCAAGTTCCTTTAACAAGGGACTCTTCCCAATACAGAAAAATCAAGGGCCCATGCCAAGATCCTGAAAATAAAGCTGCCGTACTTTGAAACTCATAAAATAATATTAGTAAGGGAATTAAGATCTGTGGCTCCATTCGATGCCATTAACAATACAGTTAAATACTTTGAAACTCATAAAATAATATTAGTAAGGGAATTAAGATCTGTGGCTCCATTCCATGCCATTAACAATACAGTTAACCTATAGCGAGAGTACTGGTGTTCACACGTTTCCTTCATCCTTTATGTGAAGGCAGTCTCCAAAAGAATGATTTCACGTAATTTCTTCTACAGTGTTTGTGTGACCTCATTCAAGAGAGGCTCAACTAAGATACAACATCTCATAACGCTCATTGCTTATGTCTTAAATGGTTACATGATTAAGCATGTATAATGATCGTCATCTGATTCTGTTACTCTGGGCCAGTTTCTCCAGACTACTCTGACCTGTTTAGAAAATATGCTAGCCAAATAAGTTACATGGAAAATATAACTAGCCCTGGTTATATCTAGTGTGTCTTAATTCATCTAGATGTGATAATGTAACTGAGTGATTTATTCTTTCATTTGATGCTATCTTGACATTAGTCTTCATAATTATAAGACATTTTTTAAAAAAAAGAAGAACTCAGTGTTCTTTATGTGGTGGGACAGACTACAAGCAATGATATTTCACTAAAGAGGAATTAATTGTAATCAGTATTTTCTTTTACATTAAATTCCATAAAAACACTTGTTTTAATGTGGGTGTAGATAAGGCAATCACCTTAGTTAATAAAGGCCCATGACATTTGTTGAACCATTGATAAATATGCTTGATTATTTTATGTCCTTTTAGAGTTATCAGTATGTTTTGATTGTATGTTTGTTTAGATATGGTCTCACTGTGAACATCTAGCTAGCCCAGAACTCACTATGTAGACCAGGCTGGCCTCAAACTCGTAGGGATCTGCCTGCCTCTGCCTTTGGAGTGCCTTTAAGCAGTGTGCCACCATACCTGGCCTTAAAGTCTGATAGCCCTAAGGGCCAAGAGATTGACCCACAAGGTCTTGATTAAACATCATCATCTCGAGCAGGATCTTCCCTGGATGTGCACACTCAGGTGCTGGGTCCGTCTCCCTGTCCCCTGGGAGAGATGAGGAAGAGGGCGGGTATCATGCTTTGCTTTAAGCTGTGTCCTCCAGGGTCCAACTGTCTGCACTGTCGTAGTTTATACAGTTAGGCAGCTGTTACAGCTGCTAATCAGAGCTTGGCTCTTGCTTTGTGAGGGTGGAATTTTATCCTGTTTAACTTTGAGTGAGTTTGGTCTTTACTGGGCCTCATTAGCTCATCGTTTTGCCCATTGTGGATTATTTTCTCCCTTTTCCTCTCTTGTTTCCCATGCTAGACCCTTATCAGTGCAGGAAAATGGGACTGTCTGAGGCTCAGCCTGTTACTCAGTAGTGTATGTGGTTTAGGAAGCAGGCATGACTGAGAATACTAAAAAGACGTGTTAAGAATGTGTATCATAATGTGTTTTAGAGGGCTCCCTGATAAAAGAGCTCCAGGCAGCTGTGACTTCTCAGCATCCTTTGCTTGAAGACCTGATCTGGTCCACCTCTGTGTCTACCCCTTGGTCACTGTGCTCCAGAGCCCCATCTACCCTGCTGTTCCTTAAGTGCTGTCTTAGTTACTTTTCTATTGCTGTGAAGAGAAACCATGACCAAGGCACCTTACAGAAGAATGAGTTCACTGGGGCTTTACGCTTCAGAGGGTGAGTCCATAACCATGTGGCCGGGAGCATAACGGCAGGCAGGCAGGCATGGTGTGGCGCTGAAGCAGTAGCTGAGAGCTTACGTCTTGATCCGCAGGCACAAGGAAGAGGAAGAGAGAGCTAATTGGGAATAGTGTGGGCTTTTTAAACCTCACATTTTAAACTGCCCACCCCAGTAGCACACCTCCTCCAAAAAGGCCACGTTTCCCAATCCTTCCCAAACAGTTCCACCACCTGGGGACCAAGCATTCAAATCTATGAGTTTACAGGGGCCATTCTTCTTCAAACCGCAAGTACACCTGACCTATGTCTGCCCTGGGACCTCCGTACTTACTTATAAGCTGTGTATAGAATGCCTTTCTCCAGGATCTGATCATTATCTATTGATGTGGAACTAACTTCTCCACAGCCTAGTAGCTTAAGACACGCACTCACATGTATATACATGTATATGTATACATAAACATGTAATCTCAAGTGTCTATTGTCAAGAAGTGGAGATATGGCTTACATAAGTGCTTGTGGCTCAGGGGCCCTTAGATGGTTACAGTCAAGGTGTGAGCAGGGCCTATCAACTTATCCGAAGGCATAACTGCAAATAAGGAGACTTCGCTTTCAAGCTCACGCATGGAACTGATGGCAGGGCTCAGGGCTTTGTCTCCAGGGCCTTTACACAGGACTCTCACACACACAGTGACCTCTTGCTTCCCCAGAACTAGCAAGCTAGAGAGAGAACCCAAACCAGAACTCAGTCTTTTTGTAATCTAGCCTCAGAAATGATAGCTGTGACTGCTGTCATATCTGTTCTGGGAGAGATTGCAAAAGTCATCCCAAACTCAAGGGAAGGAATCTATCTAGGGCGTGAGTAATGGGGGCAGAGGTCATTGGGAAGCATGTAGAAGCTGGTAACCTTTCCCACATATCCTTACGACTTGTTCCCTCTCCTCCTTTTGCTCTTGCTCAGATATCATCTTATCGGAAGATGATTATACTCTATATAATTCAGCGTGCATTCCATCTTTTAATCAGGATTTCTCTACACTACTTATCCAGCCTGTATGTATTAGTTAGTTTGTATCTCCTGATCTCGGTGGTATATAGACATCATGATAACTGGAGCTCAGGGTTATTCTCTACTGTATCTTCATCCTAAAACAGTGCTTGGCATATAGCAAACACTGGGCAAGTGTTTACTGAATGAATGCACCCAATTAACCGTGGGTAAGTCATAAAAGCAATTCGCTGAGCAAGCATTATAGAAGTAGGCAGTTCCATAATTGAATCAGCAGATCAGTAATAACAACAAGAATTTCGGTTCTTTCTATCCTTTCATACCACAATCTCTTAGGGTCTTGCCATTGCCCCTACCCCAGCCCTGCCTAAACTAGTTAGCTCGTAGGCTTAAGGAAGCTGTTGCAGCTCCCAGAATCAAATATTTCTTGAACCAAAAGGTTTTAATTGTTATATTCTAAAATAAGTCTTTCTTATAGCTTCTGGGTGACTTCCTCAGACTCTAAAGTCCTAGAACATCTACCTGCTAAGTGTCACCTAACATCGGAACACTGTCCCAACAGTACTCAGTGAAGGGCCCCGACTGACGGTGAACGGGTGTTTCCCCTATTTATCTTGACCACACTCTCAAGCACTTCATCTCTTGTACAGCTTCTTCTGTCCAGGACTTTCTGCATAGCTTACTGCAGGCTGCTTATAGGGACAGAGCCATTTCTTACAGTCTTCATACTGATTCACTTTCCATGCAAAGATTAACTTTGTTAACGTCCTGTATATATACTGCAGTTTTCCTCATGACCTCATGATGTTTTCCTCCACTCTTTAATGTTTCCAGCTTCACATCAGAGTCATCTTGAGGACTTCTTATAAAAAAGATGCTTAGAGCCGGGCGGTGGTGGCGCATGCCTTTAATCCCAGCACTCGGGAGGCAGAGCCAGGCGGATCTCTGTGAGTTCGAGCCCAGCCTGGGCTACCAAGTGAGTTCCAGGAAAGGCGCAAAGCTACACAGAGAAACCCTGTCTCGAAAAACAAAAAAAAAAAAAAAAGATGCTTAGGACTGCCTCCACCCTATG